AGCATAGGATGATGGGAATTTTGCGGACAGCAGATCATGAAGACATGAAGCGTTTAGCTGTGTTTTGTTGTTCAAGTTAGAACTAACGTCTGATAAAAAGACAGCTGTTTTTTTTCCCATTTGCATTGTCTACAGAATTGAGTCTTGTCTTGTTTATTTTTTAATAGCTGGAATGCTTGCAGTTAAAAAAGCTGCCAAAATAGCCATTTTTCTCCTTYTTCTCCTCGATAAATAACAGCATCCAACAGCAATTGGCAGAGAGTAGGAATTTATGCTCAATCTAAACTCTACAAAAATTACAGTTCTACAACATCTTTGTTTTTAGCATTAACGCTAACCTCTATGTAGTATTTTTTTTTTTGCTTTTTTGTTTTTTTTTTATTTTTATGTTGTCTAATTTTTTCTATTATATAGGTATTTTAAACTTTCTTTTTTTAAACTCTGTACAACTATTAGGATTTTAATGGGGAGAGTTAGAAGCATTTACAAACCTTTTTGTTTTCCATTTAATATCAACCATCTTTCCTTTCTCTTTTCTATGCCTTTTTATGTACTTAATTATGTATTTATTTATTTACCTTTTTTTTTGCTTTTCATAGATATCCATCTTACCTGCTTTTAACAACGCAATCCTTGCGTATTATACAGAAAACCATATGAAAGCTTCATAGACTCTAATTAATGTATAACCAAAGAACCTCCCAAAGTATCAAAGAGCTATTATCTTGCTGTTTTAAAAGCGTTTAAGCATTTGTAACTTTTTTTTTTTGTGTGGTTTTTTTTGGTGTTTTTTTGGGTTTTTTTTTTTGTTTGTTTTCATTTTTTTTATTTTTTTTAATTTTTTTTTTTTTAGGTTTTACATATTTCATATAATCGCTCTCAAAAACTGTTTTAGGAACAGCTCAGAGAAAAGGAAAGAACTTCCATATTTTACATACAGCTACAAGTCTGCGGTAAAAAGTTTTGTCCTTTGGTCCCTATATAGCTAAGGAATGACAGATAAAGATGCTCAGTGACTGTTACCATGGGTCTTGCATGGTAACCGCATCCTTGGTGGCAAACAGGCACTCCTTTGCCAGTATCCAGGTTTGCATCTCCTGTTTGAAGAAAAGCCGCTGTGGTGATATCAGTGTCTCTTCAGAAATCCCRGTTGATCTTCCTCCTGCTCTGATTTTACTTTATGTGTTTGTTTGTTTTCAAGCGCATGTCCTTCGAAGTCAGCAGATGTGATACTTTTCTTGAAGAAATGTTACAGTCTAAACAATCAAAGAGAGAATAGGTCTGAAGTCTTCAGCTTGACTGATATTTGCTGATATGTCAAAGGTGTAATCCAACAGTTCACGATTTTTTTTTAATATATATATACTTTTTTTTTTCTAAATGTGGCCCATTCAGCTGCTGCCCTAAAAAAATGAAGAAGATCATTGCAAATTAAATCAAAAAGGGGAGGGGGAAGTAGGGAAGGTGTGGGGGGAATATTTGAGACAGGGGGGAAAAAAGACCTAAAAATGAAAACAAAATTAAAATCAAGCCTGTTCTTTTGGRCCCAATCCTGCTCCTGTTGAAAGTAATGGGTGTTTTCTTCTCCCTTCAATTGGGACAGGATGGGGCTTCCCCTTTGGTGTTTTGCTTTTGAAGGCCTTGGCTCTGATTCTGCTCCCACTTGACATCAACAGAAGGATTCCCCTTGACTTCAGTGGGAACTGGATCAAACCCAAAGTAAGCAAGATAGTCACGATCATGATAAAGAAAAACACAATTGTTCCTATTAGTAGTAATAGTAATAATAATAAATCAARATAATATTGGAGTATGCCTATGTAAATCTGTATCACTACATATGTGAAGACAGTGGCATTTTAATTATTTTTAAGTGCCACTTTACAATGCCAGATCACAATCTTGCTTGGCAGGCTTTTGTAGGGTGAAAGGCATCAGGAAAGGGTAGCTCTACATTTTCATGGGTGCCATCTCTGACAGTGTGTGAGCTTTCTGTGGAGACGTAGCTGCCAATAACATCTACTCCTTTGTGAATGTCAGAAAGTAGGACTTTGAACAGGCAATTTATAGGAGGTTAAATAAAAAGGACTGTTGGAATAAACTTTAAAAAAAAAATAAAAAAAGTAAAGCTAACATTTCTCAAATAAAAAAATATTTAAAAAAAATATAATCATGATCCGACTAGGCTTGACATTTAAGTAGGATGCTTAATCATTAAGGATTAGCTCTTATCTCCTTCTAGCAAGCAGGTTCTTCTTATACACTCGGTGATTTATTACATCAAGAAACTTAGAAACTGCAAAAGGTCCACTCTGGTGGAAAAGTGTCATGCGGAATATCAATCCATGCTGGCAGGTTTTCACACTGTTGGTTCAACAAACAGCAAACCGTACACAGCAGTCTAAACAATTACAACACCAAAAATAATAATATAATAAAAAAATAAAAAACACTCGTCAAGGACCCTTTTTCAGTTGTAAACAAAAAGATGCATTTTGCTTTTTGATCTGGATGGGTTTTTTTCCCACTCAATCCCTCCCTCCCTCTAAGCAATTAATTTTTGCTGGAGTTGCTGTAATATGGCACCTTAGAATTAGGAATTCTTGAAAAGACATACAATGAGGCTTTTCTTGGGGTTGCTTTTTTGATTGCTATAGTTTGTAAACTACCATTACTATCATTAGTCTTTTTAGTTTTGTTTTTTTTTTCTTTTTTAAAAATTTTTAGGAAGTGATTTGAAATATCCTAAGGGGGAAAAAAAAGGTGTCAATTGAAAAAGGCCCCAATTCTCCGGAAAAAAAAAATAATCACAAGATTTTCAGTGCAAAAAAATTAACCACACATTTTTCTCTCTATTTTTTTTTCAAATTATCATCTGTAGTTATAACAATCCCATTTTTTTTTCTAAAGAATTAGGAATCCATCTTTTTTTTTTTCCTTCTATGTGACATCTAAAGAAGCATAAAACGCTGACGAGAAATCAAACRACAAATAAAGAAACCACTGCAAGCACCAAAAACGAAACGAAAATGAGCACAGCAAAAAATTGTGGCAGCACAAAGTCAAAAAAGGCACATGTGATCATGACTGGCCAATCATCAACTGATACAACATCCAAGAAAAATGCTTCAATCACGGCACCTGCACGAAACTTGACGGCATGTCATGCAACCAATTCTTAGCTTGTTACATGACGCCATCATGTCACACTTTCAACTTCGAGTTGATTTGAACTTACGGCCTGGGGAACTGTATTCTCCACTTTCATGTCATTACGAGAACTTTTTTCCTAGCTCAGCGCGAGACTGTGGTGGATTTGACTGGCTCTTGGTTGGAATTTGATTGAATGACAAAAGAAGAAAAGATTTTTTATATATATATATTTATATATAGTGTGGAAAAAAGGAAAGGTGGGGAAAGAAAATATATATAAAAATAATAATAAAAAAATGTTACAAACACAGCATCAATCAAAAAATTCTAATGGAAATACTTGCCATTAAACTATAGAAAACAAAACAAAAATGAGAGCAAAACAAACTAACTGAATGGAAAGGAAAGAAAGGAAAAGAAGAAAAGAAAGTAAGGAAGAATTAAAAAAAAAAAGAAAGGATGGAAGAGGCCTAGCCAGAGACACACACATAAAACACACACTTAAATGTGGACACACGGTCAACAGCGAACAGGAACAGAGCGTGATGCAGCGGCTGTTGAGGAGAGCATGCACTGAATGGATGAGCGCAGACACAGATCGGTTTGCGGAGTCTGGAAAATAAATACATTCACTGCCAACCAGAATGCTTTTGTTAGCACCGGCCTTCCCCGTACCACCCCCGGCCGCCTGCGCTTCGCCGGACGGCTGGCCAGAATCCTCCGGAGGCTCGCCGTTGCCTCGGATGGACTCCGGAGCAGGTACCGCTCTAATTTGATTTACATCCCGAGTTTAAAATCGTGGGGGAGTAATAGGCCAAGAGCTGCTTTGGCTACTGAGAATAAACAACAACAAAAAAAAATTAAAAAAAAAATAGGAAAAAAAACCAAAAAAGAAAGCAGCTACGGCTGGTTGCTGCATGTCCATTTAGCAGTTCACAGGACGGCGGGCTCTGAAACAGCAATGCTGGTATGGTGTGGGAAGCAGACTTGTAGGAGGACTCGGATGATACGATGGCCCCTAAATCAGCATCATTAAAAGAAGGACATTTACTCCTTTTAGCTCTGGTCTGAATTGAAAAGATAATGGAAAATAAAAGGGAG